GGGACGTTGTGAGTGTGGAATCCGTAATTCCGTGTGCTGGTGGTGGGGGTACGTGGGTGGGTGTGCGGAGCTGCTTTTCTTCCAAAGAAACTGCAGAGGAGAACCTGGGATTGAAAAATTTTTGCTTTAACTTCGAGAGGTCGGTTCGATTAGTTGTTAGTTTATCCTGTTAACTATTTTTGGAATGACTTCTGTCCGTTTTTGCTAGTCAGTAGAAAAGTGGCAGTGCCCTCGTAGGACTTTGTCCTGTGCAGAAGACCATGGAGAAGCATCCCCGAAGTGAACAGCTGGGTTTTAATTGCTTTGGTTTGTTGCTGACTTCTCCAGTCTTACACCGCTGAGGTCTCATTTCTTTAATAACTGCTGCGTGGGGGATTTTCTGAGGCTGGGACCACTGAAGCAGGACAGAATTCAACCGCCTGGCCCAACTGGCAGGAGTTTCGTGGTGATTTGCTTTCAGGTGAGCACGTGGGGTGGGTGAAGGTCTTTGGGAAGGCTGTCCTTGCCTTCCCTGCCCCCTCCTCGAGTGCCTCGGAAGCGCTGGCTCCATAAGCGCTCCGCAGCCTGCCTTGGGAAGGATTTGAAACCTGAGTTCCTGCAGCCCCTCTTAGTCTGGTTGTCTTCTGGTTTTGCTGGTACGGGGCGGGTGCAGCCCAACCTCCACGGCCACTTTGTTGTCAGGGTTGTGGGAATGACAGCACGGCTGCGTGCACGCGTGCGCTCACACCCAGAAGTCCCCAGGGAGCAGGTGCCTTGGATAATAACCAACCCTAAATACTCCTCTTAACGTCACTTATGAATAGACGGGGCTTTTAAGAGCAGAAGGAGCTGAGTCGCTGTTGTCCTGTGGAACGCGCGGTGAATACGGGGTCGGGTGCTGGGCAGAGGTGGGTGATGCCACATGCGGTATCTGGAGCAGCCGAGGAGCTTCCTGCCCGCAGGGACTGGAATCTAAGGCAGGTGGATTTCGTTGTCCTTGAGACCATGGTTGGGGTGTTTGGGCTGATTCGGGTTCGGTGGTCCATCAGAGCCCTGTTAGATTGATTTTCTGGGGAAAAAAAAGTGGCAGCCGCACTTCAGGTCTCTCTTTGGGATTTAGGTGTTTTCCTTTTGACTCTCTGATTCCAGTCCTGAGGCTGATGCTTTGGCCTCGATTTGGTGACTTCATTTCTTGCCTGTGGTTTTAGACTAATTCAGATCTTTTCTGATTTTAAGTTAGACATCTTAGTTTGTGTCATTGTTTTCCCCGAGCGATATCCTGGATCCAAAGCCTTTAGGCTTCAGTGAATTCCAGTTATTAAATGTAAAAGTCTCAGCTCCCTCTTACTAACTTTAAGAGCTGGTACCCTCACGGCCTTTGGGGTAGAAGGTATTTCTGCTTGATCACCTGAGGCGTTTGTAGGCGAACTCGGACTGGCATTAACAGGAGCGTTATCTCAGTGCTGTGCCAGCGGGTGCCACGCAGGCTGTGAATCCATCTCCCAGGTGTTATTCCAAGTGCTGACACTGTGAGCTGTTGATGAGCTCTGTGCTGCAAAGGTCTCTCAGCACCTTCCTCATCACGTCCTCCCAGTGCTGGACTTGGATGGGGTTCGGACACATGTACCGGTGTTGTTCCCTTCCGCTTGATCTTTGGGCTGTGGCAGCACAGCTCATCCATGCCTCCAAAGTGGTGTGGCAGCAAAATTCGGTTTGAAAACAGCTCATGAGATTGTTCTCCAAACCCTGCAGAGGTTCCTGCCCCTTTCCCCTCTCCCCTTGCCTCACTCAGCCTCTGCGTGCCCCGGAGAAAGCACGGTACTAACAGTCTCACTCCACCAACCTTCCAGGTGAAACAGTGTCACTGGTGGACGTGGACATCTCTCAGCGAGGACTGACCTCCCCTCACCCGCCGACTCCACCACCTCCTCCACGGAGAAGCCTCAGCCTGCTAGGTACTGTCCCGGGGAGCATCCTTTGCCGCGCGTCCTCACGGGAGCGTGGGAACTGTGGGGATGGAGAGGGAGCATCTCCAGGGTCCTCTGACCCTGTCCCGTGCCTGCTCGCCCTTCCCTGGCAGAGGGTCTCTTGCCATTCCTTGAAGGCTTCAGTGTTTCTCATGGATCAGCCGGGAGGGGAGGGTGGTGATGGAGCGGCGCGAGATGGGATGCAACGTGCTGGTTTCATAGTGGTTCTGCTGCCTTGGGAAACTTCCTCCCTTCCTACCCATCGCCCAGTAAGGCTGATTCCCTTCTGTGCTCTCTAATCTGTGGAACTGGGGGCTTCCTGGGAGACTGCTGCTGAGCTGGTCTGTGTCTCCTCTGGAGGAGGCTCCTCTGAGCAGGAGCAGCTTAGGACAGGTGAAGTCAGCCTCGGTGGGCAGCACCTTAAACTGCGTGTCCCGTGTGCCAGGTCTGTGAAATCTCCTTTAAATGCCTGTCTTGTGCTGCACACGCGGAGCTGGTCGGGCTGGAAAAGGGGGCTTCCTGGGAGACTGCTGCTGAGCTGGTCTGTGTCTCCTCTGGAGGAGGCTCCTCTGAGCAGGAGCAGCTTAGGACAGGTGAAGTCAGCCTCGGTGGGCAGCACCTTAAACTGCGTGTCCCGTGTGCCAGGTCTGTGAAATCTCCTTTAAATGCCTGTCTTGTGCTGCACACGCGGAGCTGGTCGGGCTGGAAAACAGGCTC